CATGTTTTTTCTAACATGCATTTGAAAATCTTAACATGAATTATGTTAATACGTTTAATTATTTGCATCAAGGTTGGTACTAAAAATAAATTTAAATTAAAATGTTTTTATTAATAATAAGTACTACATGTAGTATATAGGTACTAATATACATGCTATAGTACTACACAGTGTCGCATACAGGATTTAATTTCTGGTGGGGTTATAGAAATCCTGAGTCGGGATTCTCAACACTAAAATTAATAATACTAATTCTACACACATACTTATATTTCGGGGGGGAGGGAGGGGGGGGGGTTACAACATACGATATAATTCAATCTAATTAAATTATACCTCGATGTCGTTAAGTAATTGTGTAATATGTTGGTTCTTTTGTCTGACAGATTCTGTTAAATCTCTAAATCTTTCAGCCATAGTCAAGTTATCTTCAATAGGTTGATCATCTAGTTGACGTCCAGAAATATCATCTTGTACAGCATCAAGTTCTCGGCGAAGAAAATCTCTTTCATTTTCGACCTTTGATAATTGTGCAGATATCTATAAGTATAATAAATACATAATTTAAAAAAACGGGTAAGTGGGTAATGATCTGTCCTATATTATAGGTGTCTAAAGAGTCACTGAAAATGGATGTGTTAACATTGAATTCAACAATCATTCTATATTAATTAATTTGAGCTTTCGGTAAATTTGTTTTGTTAAATGAATAGGAAATCTCAAGAAGAATCTTGTATAAACATTTTAAATCTTCAATACTTGAACAGAGAAATTTTTTTATGAATTTCTTATTAAAAAAAAATAGCCAATTTTCGTGATTTTGATGAATTTTGTCAACATTTTTACTTCAGGCCCGCATAAAAAATTATTGTGGAATTATGATCAAATTTATTTTTAATTTCCATCAGCCAAAACATAACGAGGAACGTTGTATTACATTTTGAAGTTTTTTGACATAGCAAAAAAATGTTTATCGACAATAATTAAAAAAAGCTCATAAAACTCGAAATTGTCTTATATCTAAAAATAGCTCAAAATGATCGCAATATTTCGGCAATTTTATATTGAATAGAAATTTTTAATATAAAAATTTTATGAAAATGTATTATATCTACCTAATCATATCGCTAAAATACAAAATCGATTTTTTTCGAAAACTGATCTCGAGTAAAAATCTCAATTTCTCTCCTTAATTGTTTGTTTGTTTTTCCTAACGCTTCTGAAAACCATTTTTACAACTATAGTTTTTACTCTTGAACCCCCCCCCCCAAAGTACCAAATAGATTCAGTTTCCTACCAAAAAGATGCTGTTGAAGAAAATCGAAGGAGTTTTAGTACCTCAAAGGTGATGACAGACAAAAAAAAAACACACATCATTGTAAAATCAACACATTCATCGCTCCGCTCAGAATTTTAAATCATTAGATATTTTTTTATTGCATTTTACAAAGTAAATAATAATAATCTATATTTTATGACCTTATCCAGTTCTTTGACTTTAAAATCAACTTCTTGTTTTTGTTGTTGAACATCCGATGACAAACGTTCATTTTCTAATTCGAGCCTTGTCAATTCCTTTCGGATTACTTCTGTTTCTAGATAAACAGTTGAAATGCATATAAATTAAATCAATATTAACTAATCAAGTATCAATCCAATTAAAAAATAACTTAGTAGGCCATTTGAATATTAAATATAGCCATATAGGTAGGTATTTGTAGCACTACATGTGTACACCGCTACTACCCAACTAACTTGTATTACCTAATAGTATATATATATATTTATAGTTTAAAATCGTATTTTTTATACAATCTGTATCATTTGACACAACAAGAATATAGACTAAAAGTAACAAATATGACGGATTCATTATTTTGATGAATAGTGGCACCCATTAAAGACACTTTCATAATAGTAGGGGCTGTAGAGAGGTATTAAATATTTAAACTTGAATAAAATTATAGTATGCTCAGATAGCTTGATTGCATTACCGATTGGCAATTGCCAATCGATTATCAATAAAATCGAAACATTACATCATTAAATCTAGTCGATAAATGTATATACTACAATAATAATGTATAGAAAATATAGGTAACAACCTACTGTTAACTATTCACAAAATAAAATTGTCCTGGGGTATAGTAAATTATCAATAATCATTCATCACTTACGGTCATTCTGAGATAAATCATCCACATTAATAGTTCTCGTTTCTTCCTCTTTTTTTAATCTTCTCGCTTCTTCTTCTCCTTGTTTAGTGGCCAAATCTTCAATTTCAGTCATCAGAGAATCGACCTTTATATTGTAAAATCAATCATAGTATATTTTAAATATCTATACGGAGTTTTATATTCGTCTTACTTGTTCTCCTTTATACATCAATATGCGTCGAAAAATGATAAACATGTTTTCACATTGTCGACGATCCAACTCGAAATCCAGTTGATCGCACTCAGTCACTGTGATTTCATCATACCACTGTTCCAGATCCTGTTCGTTCATATCATCTACAGAGACTGCTAACATTTTGCTTAATTCTAACTGTACCATTTTTGTGTTTTACTTAGATCACTTAACTATTACTATTTACTGTTATACATGCACACGTGATATTAAACATAATCTAAAACAATAGAAAAATAAATTTTTATTTTTAATGTTTCAAATATTCTGGCACATAACAACAACAACAAACTAATTGTTATGATTTCAGAGTTGCCTTAGCAACACGCTATAATACTATATTTTTACAACTTACAACGTGTATATCGTATACGCTATATAGTATGCAACCAATAACCATATATTATACAATATATCCGATAACTAAACAATAACACGTCATTCATAAAGGCTTATAATATTCATAATAAGGCCTATGCAGTAGGTGACTCTGTATTACCTGAAGGGATCAACAAATTATTAATAGCTTTCTAAAATATAAAACATCCTAATAAAATATTTTGTTTTAGGTATCATCAATTTGTTTTTGTACATGCAGGTATAAAAAAGGTTTATAATTATAATTTGTAACTATAATGTTTATTTTACCTATATAAAAATGTTACTACAATAATTATTTAGAGTTTAGGGTGTTTAGACACATATCATTAAGAACCAATATCAACTTTTGAGCAAATAGAAATATACCAAACAATAGGTAGGTACCATCTATAATCAATGGTATTATATTATACAGATATACGTCATTACAAATTATTGTTTTTTGTTACTATATTGAATAAATCAGTCTGCCAATTGCATAACAAAGAATAATATTTATGAGGATCAAGCATTGACGATTATTGGAGAGGGAGGAGCTTAGCAACCAAAATTAAGATTTTTTTTACAATTTTGATTAAATGAAAACAACTTATATTTTCAAAAATATCACATAATTTAATATTGTAAAATTGTACGACTTTACCACTTTGATCTCTACTGCTAATAATCCAATAGATAAAAAAAAGTGAAGAACAGTGAACACACTATATTATACTCATCAAAATTCTATGTAATATTTTTTATTTATTTTATTACATTATTCAATATATCTACCATGAACTCAGAACGGCTATGTACAAGTCAATTGTACTGGCCTATAGTCTTTGTAACGAAATTAACGCGTGACTGGAAATATCTCTCACATGCCTATTGGCTATTTTGATAATAGCTCTAATTTCGTTACAAAGATCATGGTACTATAAAACTGGCATGGTAGTTGTGCATATAGCAGTTCTAGGTGGATATATTGAACAATATTATAAAATAAATTAAAAATATTACATAAAATATCAAAAAGTACCTATATAGGCTATATAGTGTGTTCTTTATTACCTGTTTGATTATCATTAGTTATCAGTAGCCAGTAGGGCTGAAGACTTCTAGTTTTTTCATATTCGTCTAGAAAGGTCGCAGAACAATATAAGTGATGTATAAATGTTTCTCAAGTCATACGCATAACGCAAGAAGGTATTAAGATTTTATTTTGCATATAAATGCATATTTGAGTATATTAGACAAACTAGGAGTATGTATATGATCAAATTTTCAAAATTTTGATATTTAATATAATTATAATAAAACATATTAAAATCTGCATGAAAATGTTATATTTCTAATGTCCACTGTTAACTTAGGTATATATAATATTAACATTATCGTTTAGGTAATTAATTATCTGGCCGATAACATCGAGACGTGCGTGTAGGATTGCAGGAAGTAAACTTCAGTTGTCATAATTTATCGCATATGTACTGTTGGTTGATTAACGTGAAATTGTTATTTCAACTTTTTATCAATTAATTCAAAATATATTTTTATATTTTTTTCCAGATAAATATTATAAATATAATAGGTTTCATATTTTATATAATATTAAATTTTTTAGAAAATAATTTAAGAGCATATGGTTTGTTTTTTAAATGCATATGTACATACATATTTTGAGGTTTTTGAGTAGGTACTAGAAGTCACATATAAAAGTGTAAAAGTGTAAAAACCATATAATTTTACTACATTATGTTGTATTTAAAAAAATTTAAATTGGCTTTCATCATTCAAAATCCAACTTATTTCAATTTTTTTCTCCATATTTTAAATAAATAACTACAAAATAGCTATTTTTGAATTTTTAAAAAATAAAAAGATTTTAAACGGTTTTTGTAATTTTTTTTAGACCATGTTGAAAGGGAGGTTATTAGTCGTTTGTTCCATTAAAAAAACTACACTGGAATTACTGCATTATATTTCGTATGATCTACTGACTTTCCAATTAGTTAAAATTGGTAGGTAGCCTATGTAGGCCTATGTAACTTAACTGAGCTTTAGTGTTAGTCTGTAGGTATAAGTACAAGGTACTTACTACCTATATTAAATATGAATCTTGAGTCCTAATGTCCTATATAAGTAAATGACGCATTCGACGTTTCTGTTCTAGAATTGGAAAAGTTATAACTATAAGGTATATGATTGAACGAATGATATAAAACAGACAATTAACATAATTGTATATAGATTCTTTAATTAACAATTTACTTAACAATTGATCAATATCTATGAAGGTCTATGAAGGTGGTGACATGAGCATATCGTTTTCATGTAGTTCTCTTGTTTTGAACCGAAGCAAATCATTGTCGATATCAATTGCTTGCAGATCCTTATCGAACGTCGTAGATGGTTGAAATGAAGTATAAGAGCATAAATTATTCCAATCTGGCTGAGGAAGGAGGCTAGAAGAGTTTCCGAATATTGGATTATCTGGAAAAAATTAAAAAGAAAAAAATTCCTTTGAATTATATACAGTGTATATTTAATAATAATATTCAGTACCTATACATAAAATACCTACTATAAAAACGATAACCAATGTTTTTAAGGAATAATAAATGTTATACATTATACTTAAATACTTATTTTTATACAGCATAACACCAGGTAGGTATTTAAAAGCTAAAATAATAGTGATTACAAAACTTCAATAAATGTTGTATTTAAATTAATCGATTCGATATCATCATGGTTAATAATACTCTAGAATCTAGAGTCTAGATTATGGTAAATAGGTACATGCAAATTTAGGGTTGCTACTAAGTATAACACTATTATTGGTATTGTCGGTAAAGAGTCAAAATGTCTAGTGGAAATATAACAGTTGCCGCCATAACTTCACGAGTTGAAGCCTAAAGACTAAAGGTAGGTACTTATCACAGGTATTATTATAGGATAGGTCGAAGTATTAATTCAGGCATGTCAAACTCAAAGTATTACCTTAATATATTATAATATTAGATAGTTTATTCCAAACATAAAAATACATCGAAAAAAAAACAATTTGTGTGTATTGGTTTTAGTATTGTCGTATTACTCGTATTATAGGTAGGTAACTACAATAATAGTTACCTACCTATGTGTTCTTCTTTTTCATTAATTTACTTATTTCCGTATGTGTTATTGTCGTCACGTCTTTGAGCAAGAAACATGTTTCAATATTCAACATAGAGGGTGGTTTCTATGATAGAAAATTTGATCTATATAGTAATTAGTAGGGAATAACCACTTTTCTTTAATAAAATAATAAAAATCAGCGTACCACTTATTTTTGACAAAATCGATATTTTGTTTTAATTTGGAGAAGTTTTTTAAGCTTATTTAATGTTATTATCCTATAGCTTTTCCAAATCTCAAACTCTATTTGCGCTTATATGGTACAAATGGTACATCTTTTCATTGAATTCGAATTGAACACATCCATTATATACTGTAAGGGTGATGAGGAAATAAAATTACCATAGGATAACGCACAACTTTATATGAAATATGAATACCTACGATTATTTATATTAGTATCTGCTAATTAGTAAGTGATTGGGTTTAGGCATTGATTAAGTAAATTTAATCAATGGTTTAGGAATCTACATATATTATCGGTTAACTATCGATAAATGGTAAAATACAAAAATCGGAAAATTCGAATTAATGAATACCTACGCAGGAAAAAGCTTACAATTTAAAAATAAATTGTTAAATTATAATAATTGCATATTACTAGTATTTTTTGAAATATAACAAACATTATATTATATACATAGTGCCTTACACGCTCCAACTAATATATACAGTAATGCCGTTTATATTGTACTATGCAGATTGCAGAATATTTATTCGTGAATATTATTATTTATATAGGTATAAATACGTAAATACCTATATGTATAATATATTAATATATTATATATATTAAGTCACCTATCAACTGTGTTAGTAAAATAATTACGGTCTTAATAATTAATTTCTAACCTGTTAGACAAGGGTTTATAATTGGTTCGTTTTGGTTCTGGTGCTGGGAAACCAAGGTCTTTTCCTGCTTCCGCCATTTGGCTCTACGATTTTGAAACCACACCTATAGATTGTTTAGACAAAATTTGTTTTAAACATTTTTAATCGGCTAAGGAAGGGTTAAATAGCAGTAATATAGAAGTCCTGATTAAAGAACTATATCGGGCCTCAGAACACTAGACACTTTTAGTTTTAATAACTCTCAAACTGCAACCTTTCTCACTTCAAACATTTTTTAAATAGTTACTACTTTTTAACGGTTGTTAAGCCTTATGTTTTATATACAATTATAAATTATTTAAACACAGATATACTATGGTCGATACAACAACCAATGAGTTATATTTTAAGCGTTAGACACTAAGTAATATAAAATATTGTTTCTACTTTACTTGAATAGGTCAAAATCACCTAATATCAATAAATAATTGAACATCATATTAATAATATTAATTATTGAATAAACTCGTAATATTATAATTATATGGTACTATACCATACATATAAATTATATATTATTGAATCTCATAGTTATTAAATATTAATTTATAATTTAGTAATATTTCATGATGAGAACATAATGTATTTTATTTTTTGAAATGTCTTTTGAATGTGCAGTGTCAGTGTGCAAACATATTTTGTAGAAAAATATGGCCCCCGGTACTAGTCGTCCGTACTTCCCGCTTGCCCTCCTTAATCCGGGATTGGTTATTTGGTAATATGTAAAATATAGGTATTAGGTACCTGCACCCTAGCTTCAGTCAAGTCGATTCGCATTGCCAGTTCTTCGCGAAAAAATACGTCAGGGTAATGTGTTTTCTGAAACGAGTTTTCTAGTTCTTCCAGTTGGAAATTCGTAAACGTAGTTCTGAAAACATAAATCCAAATATAATATTCATCAACTACAACGGGTCTAGACAATGGGGTAATGTTATAGTGACGAGCAGTCAGCAAAACAACACGCATATTAAATGTCTAACGTATAAGAAATCCTTTTTTATTGCAAGAATAGAATTAAGCTTTTTAGAGCGACTCTTGAATGCACCCCTTATGAAATATAAATTAACAAGACTAAGTCGATGGTCTCATTGCACTTATTTATTGTATTATACTATTACAAAATCTACTTTTTAAAATTTTTAAGTATAATTTTCTTTGTTTTTGAGTATAAGAATGTTTGAAACTTTTCTGTTTTACCGGACAACTTAAGGTTTTAAACAATTGTTTTTTTTTTTTTTTTGGTTTAACGTATGGAACTAAGCATACTGAAAACAATGGTGAAGTCTGAATTTGGTGGTCAGACTTCATTTTAAAGCTACATGGTTACTTGAAATTTATAGTATTTTCATATAGGTATACTCGGCGTGATCACTCGCTTCTTCGGACATTTAAAATCGACAACTTTCTTTGACTTCTTATATAGTTATATAAAACTACTTTGGCCTAGTTTAAAAATAAGTCCGACCGCCTAATTCTGACTTTACCGTTGTTTTCAAGTTCTAAAAACAATAAAACTTCATTTTATGTTCTTGAAGAATATAGTACGACTGTGGCTTGTATAATCGTCAAAGGCTAAGCTGCACTGATATATTATGTAGGCAGAAATAGCCAAAATAAGTACTTTACTTACTTGAAAATTTCAAGATGAAATGCAAAATATATTGTTTTCACTTTTCAAATGTCAAGTTTTATAAAAATACTTTTTTTCAAAACTAATAAAATACTTTATTAATGCAGTATTTTAAAAATTGTATTAGGTTATTATACTTATATAGTTATATATCTATACCTAGTACCTACATATTAGATAGGTGTCTGCTACCTACAACCTACGTATTTTAATATTATAATTTAATTGAAAGTCCATGCACATCCCTGGGTACCACTTCTGATACAAAACAAAGAGTCTGAGTAATTACTGGCAACTGTTACCTGTATCTCCGCTGTTTCCTCTTGATGTTGCTATTAGAATTTTGGTCAGTGCTCAGAGATCCAGACGATTGATCGTTGTCGTCGCATCGATCCGAAGGGCTGTCGCAACCGGTCACATCGCCGTAATCTGTACACGAGGACAGAATACACCAATTATTATTACCATGTTATTTAACAATGCAAAACGACGACCTACCGTAGTGCGGTCCAGCTCCCAAAAGACCGTCGAGCACCGTAGTGGTATCCCCGGGATCCGTTTCTGTGCAACGCAGATCTGAAATGTCTAATATCGCCTTCTCTTCCATATCCCTAAACGCCACCCCATGTTTAATACAGAATTTTCTACGTCTTTAATTTATAATATATAAAAAAAATAAAGTATAATACATCCAGTGGCGTACACGGTACACACAATTTTCCCATTGCGGAGTACTCTGGAATTCAGGATATTGAACTAGGTATAATAAAATATTTTTAGGTATTATAAAATAATAAAATTACAGATTAGGTAATCACCCAATTATTTGTCAATAATTTAATATTTAAAAAGAAAAATATCTGGTCTACGTTGGGGGGTCTATCCCCCCTCGTGTGTACACCCCTGAATATATCAGTTGTGAATTATTATTATACTACTGACCTTATTGTGATGGCAAATTTAATTATGTCACTGGAACCTTAGTGTTATTATTATAATTAAATGAGCGTAATTCGGTTAGGACGCTGTACAGTGTACGATATAATAATATATTTTTTCTGCGAACTAGGGCGCGTTTTATTATTACATTAAGAAAAAAACACGTTTTGCTGTCAACTACAAAGAACGGTGTACACGGTTTGAACTTTCGAGCTTCTACGGAAGCAGCAAAAGTGCGTTCCTGATTAGCGCGAATGGATTCGGTCGACTATATTATTTTCTTGCATAACATATCGATTTTTTTTCTAATGTAACTGTAGAATGATATATTGAATGTCAACAAATATATTATTATTTCGTATAAATATGCTTCTCCGAGTCTTCACACACGTCTAATTTTGTCATCGCAAAATCCATGGTTGTTAGTCTTCAGACTCGCGGGGTTAAATACAAATTATATTTTGTTTCAAGTGATCTCAACCATTGCTTCCTAAGGAAAAAAAGTGTTTTGTACGGAAACTTTTATCTGCTAGTTTTAAAAGGAGTTTTTTTCATATAGGTAAACTAAAATGAAAATAAATCGCTAAAAATTGAATATATACGGCTGTATATTATATATACAAAATTATAATTACAATAGTATGATTTATTTCAAGTTTTAAATTCAAACAATGATCTACTTTTTTTTCATGAGGAATTGTGCTAAATTATAAATATAAACACATATATCAACATTTAATGCGTTTAAACACCTTGAAAATAGTAATAGGTCAACTTATATAAAGCTTATTTAAAATGTAGACAAATTAATTTGTTTATCAGCAATGCAATAATTATAACTATACAGAAATTAGGTAACAATACAAACAAACACTTTCTGACAGTAAATTTATGACATTAAATTATCTATTGTGTTGAATGGATTAGTTAGAAACACGATTTAGAGTTTACAAGAACAAACATAATTCTAAAAAATATATAAAGTATATACAATACAAAAACCATTTTCAATATATTGAACAAATAAGTAGGTAATTATGTATATTAACGAAACAATAATACAATTAAAATACATATATTAATTTTATAAATATTATGCAACATAACTGTAGCCATCAGATGAGTTTGGAGTGCGTTCTAGATATCCTTTATCAATTAATGTTTCGATGGATTTTTTTATAAGAGCAATTGATGGTGCAAATGACTTTGATTGGGAAAGTATCTAAAACATTAAAGATATTGTTAATAATAAAATTATTATTATTATACCAGACATTTTTTATTTATTTTACTTACTTCATTCACAAGTTGATTATGTCTCAATATCTTACGGGATTTCATTATTCGTACAATTGCAGCCTGTAAATATGTTTTGCGATCATCTTCAACAGAATTAACAGTCTGTTCAACCTCTTGTGGAGTTTCTTTTTGGAGAGCTGATGTTATTCGCAATTTAGTACGTTTATTGGTGTATCCCATGTTTAATGATACATTCTAAAAATAATTGACAAATAGCAATATACAAATGTTAAAAGCTTATTTAAATTTTTAGTCAGTTTACTTACATCACCATCAAGCAACAACAATTTACATTCTATTAAGCTATTGATGTGTTTTTGAAATTGATCATTGGTTAATTGAAGAATTTCATGAATTTCAGTGTAGTTAATGGTATCACGGTCTTCAAATAGTAACATGATAGCCATTTGAAACGTCTGCATTGTCACTATATACACTTTTTGTAAATAATCCAATTTTAACTCGCCTATTGATACAATAAACAAATATATTTTAATAAATAATAAGGATATAATAATAATTGAATAAAATAACAATACCCTGACAATGATGATGAAGCCATGTTAATTTTCGTCCATTGAATTTTTCTTTGTAGAAATCTTCAAACTAAAATTACAATAAATCTGGTTGAGTTAAAGTTATAGTATTAATATAATACACGTATCTTAAGTATTTACATGTTGTATACAGGGTATCAATTGTTGAGGAATAACAAATGATGACACAGTTGACGATCCCAAAGGCCAAGCTCCAGTTTGCAATACATACATAGAAAAAGAGACATTTAACTTATCAGCAGGTTTAAGAAATTCACTATGGAATTTTGCATTTAGTCCTTCTGATACTCTGATATCAGTAAACATACGATGTAATTTATTTGTAAACTCGTAACCACAGGCTTGCTAAAAACAAACATGAAAATTAACATAATACAAATTTAACAACATTTGATTAATTTACTTTCAATTTGTTGATCATTCCTTCTTCTCCGTCCATGGACTGGCTTTGTTGATGTATTAACCGTTTTGCTAGATGCCTTTGATAGAATCTCTGGAATATATCTTTATCATCTACATACTTGAATATAGTAATAGACTGTAATAGTTTTTGATCAATTTCACTCTCACACATGCCTTTGGACGATTTTTTCAATAAATTATCACAGTATTTTGACAAATATTCTGGGGACTTTGATGATTGATTTTTTACTTGTCTATAGTTTATGATTACTGTAAATGCCTTATCAAGTGCACCACTGAAGCATAAATCATTGTTGAACACATCTACAACTATTGATTTGTATTTTTTATGCACATCCAATACTTCCTCAACAAAATGTACATATATCTATATAAAAAATTATATACATAAATTGTAATTCAGACTTAAAAATTATTATTAAATATATACTTGTTCTGGTCTTAAAGATTCAATAACCCTAATTCCATGTTGTTTTATGTGTTCTCTGAAAATGTCAACTAATGAGGTCATTCCATCTTTAATTTCACGTAAGAGTAAATAAATATTGTGCATGTCATTTCGTCGCTCTTCCTTTATCATAGCTTCAGACTCTCCATGTAAAAAATCTAAATGATCACCAACCATGTGTTGACGACAACGTCCTCGTAGTTTGACATAAGTGCTAAATAAAATAAAAACAATAGTATTTTGTATCATAGTTTCAATATTGTGAAAATTTACCTTTCATGGAGATATTTTTTTGATCTAATTCCTTCTTCTTTCAATATTTGCAATACTTTAACCATGTACTCGGACACTGTGCTTTCTTGTAACAATTTTGCAGCTTCACATTTAAAGTGTTCACTACTTCGCTCCAAAAAAGGTTCCTCAAAATAAGTTTGATATAACTGGAAAAAAATTAAATGTTTAATTCAAAACACTATGAATTTGTACTTTCTTATATTGTGATAAATAAATATAAATACTTACTTCAAGTGGATATTTTTTCCTAAACTCTTGGACAACAACAAATGAGTTAATTACACCAGAAATGATATCCAAAGATGTGGTCATTGATATGTTATGTCTTTGTTTGTCAAACTCATCTAATAATAACTCGAGCATACTGTCTTTCAGCGGTACTATCATATTGTGTTTCCACACATCAAGCCCCAGTTCTCCAACCTCCATCTGTTCAGTGGCATCTGGTGTAATGTTTCCATATAAAACTTCTGCTTCGGATAATTTATGTTTTTTAATATGTTGGTTATTAAGATACCTAGAAATGATTTTTACACAATATTACATATACTTTATTATTCAATGTTAGATTACAAAATACATACTGGTAAAGTGAATGTAGGTATTTGACACCTTTACTATATTTTTGCCAATATGTATAATAATTTTGTAACAGATTTGCAGTACCTCCGGTTTGTATAATAGTCAATAGTTCAAGTACGTGGTTCTCTAAGAACAACTTTGTGGAGTCATAAAGTTGATCACCAAGAGGCTCTGGGAAGGCCACACACATAGAGTAAACATCATTGAAACGTTCGTTCCATGCATCTCTAGGAACTGTGTCTAATGTAATGACACCTTTTACAGTCTCTTGTAAACTGTTCCATTTTTCCGTAAAGTTTATTGGTTTTGGTTTTAATGACATATTTGTTGAATTTCTCGAAACAACTATTGATACAAATTAATTGTAAGATACAGATTAGAAGTATTAAAGTATTAATAATTAGTTGAGGCGCGGTCGTACGCTCAATCTGCGGCAACTCTCTGAGCGTACATACCAGCCATTATTGCTAGCACTCGGATGGGTGACCACCCGGAATTTTAGCAACACATCGTTGTCACACATACAAATACATGTTTTCCCTTAAAACAGCTAATGGCCATAGTTGCCGGGCTTTAGATCAATAAAATAAATAACAATTAGTAAGTCTCACAATTGTTTAAGAAATTTTAACTAAGTGGAATATTTGTATGTATGAATTTAAAAGGATTTTACTTGCATAGGACTTAAATAACTTTTAGTACTTAATAGAATAGTATACATATAAATGTTTCATACATCAATTTTAACTATTTTTATTCTTTTTACTCAGGCAGGTTATAGGTGAAACTTGGCCACCTCTAGACTCTCTTATGTCAATAAAACAATTAAAATAAATAACATTAAAACAATAAAAACAAAACTAAAATAAGTAAGAAGTGAATAAATATTACTTATTAATTATAGGTACCAACAAAAAAAGGCGTACTTAGAAAACATCAACTAAATCTGTGAATTTAGATAGGCAAATTTAATTGTTACTATGTTTATAAAGAAAATTGTTTAGGTAATATTAAAACTATACTATATTTAGTTTCTAAATGGTCAAAAAATAAATTGAACTGCACATCTATCACCACTGCTGTTACTGGCACAGCTACTTATACACCTCACCTGCTGTTTACCGGAAACTATGGGAGTACGATCATTGAATACTTTGGTAACAAATGGGTTGCAAGACACCAATATACAAGTTCATTTGGTATGTGCAAAATTAGCCATTTTAAACTGAATACACAATAGATAATCATGAGAGGACATCTTTTGTTCCCATTTTTTTTCCTAATTTAACTTTTGTTGTTGAATAATTTATTAGACAAGAATTTAATTAATTCTGAATATTTAAAAACATAATTAGGTACATTTAGTGATTCAAATTCAGACAAGAATAAATTATATATTATTTTTGCAATTAATATATTTGGCATAAATAATGAAAAATATAAGTTTAAATTGAAGAATTTAAATAGGTACCTTATTAGTTTTAAATTATCTAACAAACCAAATTGTTTTGTATACGCAATATTGGACTGGAACTACCAAGGTAGTTAAATTAATAGAAGATTTAAGATTGTTTTGAGGTCTAGCATATATAATAGACAATAGGCAGTCTTCCATAATATGACTAATACTTATGCCATAAAAATGTGAAATATTGCATGTACTTAAATATTTTTCAATTCTAATAATTTTTAACTTTAGCTATAGATACAATATAAGCAAACAAATATAGGTATAGGTAGTTTTAGATCCATATGTACCCGAGACAAACATTTTTAAAATCTGTTTAGATAATATTCCCAGTGGGATGATCCTCATACTGAGCTACTCAATTGTTGTGCTACCTATCATTAAGTAAATAAATAAATATGTCCTAACACCATATTTGTCAACATTAAGGTCAAATTATGAACAATCATCATTGCGTAACCACTTAGCAGTTAATCGGGTCATAATATTATGTGT